TAAATTGTTACAATTTATCTATTGATAGGAAATCTTAATTTTCACTATTTAAAGATATAGATACAAATCAGAAAAAAATTAATTATCTAGGTAAAGATGTACTTGAAGCAATGATATTCGTTAACCTGGTCTCCCCTATCCTACATTAAAGAACATAATGATACTAAGCTATGATTTTCATTCGTAAAAAAACATAAAGATAGGGGAAGGTGGTATACTTTAATCAATTTTGACATTTTTTTCTTGTGCAAGTTGTATCTTGATGTTTAAAAATTCAGAACAATTTTAAAATGTTCTTTGAAATGTTGATACTAATATATATTTTTTTACAGATTTAAATGATTATGTTTTACATCTTTTTTATCATTTGGAAAAAATTAAATTTTAGTCAAAGATACAATACCCATGTTGTACCTCTGACCAAGAAGTATTGTATTTTTAATGTATAAAATGTGTATTTAAAGATAAGATATTGAACATAAGTTTAATTTTATTTATATTTTTAATATCTTTTTGCACTATAACTTTATATATAAAATATATAAAAATAAATTTTACCATACAAAGAGATTTTTATTTTTGCACGAAATGATTGAATCTGGCAAAAATAGTGTCCTTCGTTCATTTCATTCAAAATCGCATCTAATGAGTATAATTTTATTAATATTGGAGATAAGATAGATAAACTAAATTATTCGACATTGACTGATCAAATACACTATCAGTTACTGGTTAAAGGTACAACGCTTGCTTACTTTTTATTTGTTATTACTTTTATAAATTATAGATTAAGATTGACAGTAAGTCTAAATAAGTTTAAATAAGTTTTAAGGGTTAATTTAAATCTAGCTTGTTTATAAACGTAAATCAATTAAGTTAACAAATTTTATTTACATTTAATACATATAAAGATTTTACGGTGCTTTTATCCGTGACTTCGTGTTATCAAATGTGGAGCCTTCATGATGCAGCGCGTAAAGAGGAGCTTGTACATTTAGCAATAACAGGTACGTACAAGAGATTTTTAATAAAACTGTACATGAAAATTCTTCTTTTATCCGTTGAGACGAATATAAATTTAGACGTTGAATCGCGCAATTGTATAGTTGGTGATTAACTCGCTAGGTATTTGTAAATATCGTTATCTTGTTCTTCTTAATTTTGTTATCTACCGTCAGTCGTCAAATTGTATCGTGTTACATTAACGTAATACATTTTATCTCATTCAAATGCGACATGTATACATATGTACATACATCTGTAGTGATTTTAATGCTGTGCTTCAAATTGTATTGCGAGATTTTATTAAATAGCGAATAAGTTGGTAAAGTCATCAAATATCGTATGTTTTATTATATTTATTTAAAGATGAGGACTGTCCACGACTTCCTGATGCGGAGGGTGTGAGTATCCCCTTAATATTGCCAGGCAAAGAATTATCCCAGATTTTCTTCGATATGAGATCGATCGACGCTTTGCTCTGGAACAATGTCAACATATTGCACGACGATACCTTCGGTGACGTAATTTAAGCATTAATTTCATTTTCTATTCGTTCATTTTTCTATTCCATTTTAATCTTTCTTTACATTACTTCTCGGCATCTTTGCTAATATAAAATACGAAAACAACTCATGAAAATATATTTTATTTATGATAACTTATAGATAGGGACACAATCGGTAGAGTCACAAAAGCTTTATCGACTTCGTTGCCAAATAAAAAATTTAACCTGGTTTCCAGGACGTTATTTACTTTTAAGCATGCTAATTCTGAACGTAATAGAAGATATGATATAAAAAACATGCTTGAGAGTTTCCATGTGGAACAATTGGGAAAATGCTTTCTGGTAATCGTCACGATAGATACAGCGGCTGATGTTATGGAAGTTGTAAGATAAATAGAAACTTCTTGGTTTATATTTCGCACTAATTCAAAAAATAAAATAATAGTTCCAAAAAGAAAAATAATTTTCTAGATATAGAATGAAATAATAGTTTTAAAAGAAAAACCAATTTACTAGGTACATAATTATTTCTTGTAATTTGTAAAGGGACTTTTTCCTTAACTCATATATATAATATAAATCTTGAAAATGTGCAAACATTTTATGTTAAATGCGAAGAAACTTGCTAATGAACACAACTTCTATTCTGATTCTCATTAATTGTAAATTTTATATATTTAGGCAAAGTCTTTAAATATGGCGCTACCCGACAGTCAGTGGTTATATATCATCACTGATAGTGTAGTACGAAACTCTACAAATATTACCAGTTTCGCCGATTTATTGACGGAAGGCAGTAATGTAGCTTTCATTTACAATGTGACGGACAGCGATACATATTGCAATGTAATTTATTAATTATTCTTTTTTAATTATATGTTTAAAACTACGTGAGATTAACTATGTGAGATTAGCTCAAAATTTAAATAATCAAATAAGATTAATTAATGCAAATTTTATTATGAAAGTTATTAAGTGTACAACTTTGCTTCCGCCGTTTTTTTTCCGAAATTCGAGGCTTTATTGTAAAAAACTGGTTATACATTTATGATTCAAAGTATTGTCCATCGCTGGCCACTATTTTCTCCCATCTTTCGGGTAGGTGATAGTCAGAGGGAACAACGTCTGGAGAATACGGCGGTTGGGGTAGGACTTCCCATTTCAACGTTTCCAAGTATATCTTGACCACTTTCGCATGGGGTCGAGAATTATCATGCTGTAAAATCACTTTATCGTGTCTCTCGTTGTATTACGGCCGTTTGTCTTTCAATGCTCGGCTCAAACGCATCAATTGCGTTCGATACCGATCGCCTGTGATTGTTTCAGTCGGTTTTAACAGTTCACTACGCCGAGCTGGTCCCACCAAATACAGAGCATGATCTTGGACGTCAAAATCACCGTTCTTGAAGCGTTGAAACCACTCACGACACGTTCTTTCACTAATAGCGGCTTCACCAGTATTTGAGAGCATTCGATGAGCCTCAGCCGCAGATTTCTTTATATTGAAGCAAAAAATTAAAACCTCCCGCAAATGATGAGAATTTGGCTCGTAAACTGACATTTTCAATCGAGAATAACTTTATGATGCAGACACAAATCGACTAATGTTTCTATGGCTATGGGGTTATGTTGACAGATGCCCAAGTTTATTATATGACGTCTATGATCTATTTATTTCGATTACCATTTACCGTTAAAGCCATCTATAGGAAAACGGCGGAAGCAAAGTTATACACCTAATATTTTTCGATCATCTTTTTGCAATTTTATAAAGACTCTTTAAATATTTTATATTCTCTTTTACATTCTCTCTCTCCGTTTTTCTCTTTTGTTATATATTTTAGAGAAAAAAGGAATTTTTTCAGGTCAGTTTAAAATGTTATATCCAAGAGTTGGTTTCGGCTTTGGCTAACGCTTTAAAAATGTCGTTGATGACTGAAATAGAATTATACAGTCATATGACCGATGAGGAGTTCGAACTCATCCGATTAAATAAGCAGGAAAGACGTCAGGAAATTCTCAAAAGTATTAAAGTTCGTATCTTTGATTCTACGTTTGGTGTCATTCAAATTGATGGTATAGAAATGATATCTTGTAACTATAGTTTTCCTGACAATCTATCATCATTATTCTTTACACACATATAAATATAGATTGATTAAATTTCTGAGATTTTAAGAATTAAATTCCTTTGTTTTTTTGGACTAAACTTGTTGTATTCTTAGATATTAGGATTTAAGAAATTTTGTTTCTGAGAAATGGCTCGTTAATTCTCGTGAGAAATCGTCTCTATACCATCTTTTTGACGGAAGTTCTACACATATTCTATTTTCTACAGATACAGCTTATCGAGGATACTTTTTCTACGAACGGCGTTTGCGGTAAATGTCTGTTTTGGCGATTCGCTTCGGCCATAACATGGGGCAACTTCTTCATTCACGGCAAGAATGTCGCGCACTTGATTGAATCGGGAACGTGGATACCTGTCCTAGGTGCGAATTTTACAGACGTTCTTTTTCCACACGTAATGCACGGTTTCCGAGGGATCAACGTACCAATCGCTACGTATCACGTAAGTAAAGATGTTTTCAATTCTCTGCGTAATTGTGCTCGTTGGGACAATAATTTTCTTTATATAGAATCCGCCGTGGCAAACTATCTCGTTGACTAATTCTGGCGAAAAGGAATACGGAGGACTCCTTTTCGACGTTGTGAGATATCTAGGGAAAAAATTGAACTTTACTTATAATGTGCTCAGCCCGGCGATCAATCGGACCAAGTTCACTCGTAACGCTACTGTAGCCAATGTGGTAAAAGTTTAAATTTCATCGAATGTTCATAACGTGAATAAAGCATTTATTTCTTTACTAAATAAAAAATCTATAGTATTATTTGAATTATAAATTACATAAACTTTATTTTATGATCTTCGTTTTAAAGCTTGTCCAATTGATGCACAGCATTTAATTTAATTTCTCGATAACTTTTCGATGTTTTACTATGAGTGTTTCAAATGTTAGGTGTTAACATCGACAACGAGAGAAATGCCATCGCAGATAATAGATATGATTCTGGAGAAAAAGGTCCTTTTTGCAGCCTGCGCGTACACCGTGAATGATCATGGAAGGAAACAGATCAATTTTACTTTGCCGATTTTTATACAGACATATAGCTTCCTAACTGCAAAACCGGGCCAACTTTCTAGAGCATTGTTGTTCACCGCGCCCTTTACCAAAGAGGTAAAACATGCACCTCTGCATGCCGCAGCAATTTTACGTTTCTAGAAATTGAAGTTTATATAATGCATTATATACCTATATAATAGAACGACATTGTATCTTTATAATGTATTTGTTGCAACGCCTTCAAGCGGACTAGTTTTGCTTGTAGACGTGGGCTTGCCTGGCAGCATCCATTATTATAATGGGCCCGGTGTTGTACTTGATTCACAAGTACAGTCCAAGCAGCACGAAGACATCGGGGCTCAATTCCTGCTGGCAATGCGTATGGTACATCTACGGGGCTCTTCTTCAGCAAGGTAGCATCCGCTTGTTTTTGAAAGCGCTATTTTTATTTCGCGTGTAAAGTGTAGTCCAGATTAAAACATATTTTTTCATATTTCCGTCATTTTTATTTTTATAGAATATCTTTATTATTATAGAATATCTTTATAGAATATCTTATAGAATATCTTTTATAGAATATCTTTATTATTATAGAATATCTTTTATAGAATATCTTTATTATTATAGAATATTTTATTTTTTCAAATTACTAATTTTCTTACTAAGATTTTTGTTGAAGAAAAATCGTTTCATTTTATACTTATTTTTATATGAAAACAAAATCGTTTTTTCCTTTCTGGAAACATACAAGGGTGAATGATTTTAGGGGGAATGTACTTACCCCATTCCGACAGCGCTCGCCTGTTGGTCGGTGTCTGGTGGTTGGTTGTGATGGTCTTAGTAGCAACCTATTCCGGAAGTTTGGTCGCGTTCCTAACATTCCCAAATACAGACACTGCCATCCTGACCGTGGATGATCTTATTGCTCATAAAAACAAATTAACGTGGGGCTTTCCTAATGGCAGCTTTTTAGAAGAGTATCTAAAGAATGTCGAAGAAGAAAAGTATCATATTCTTTTGGAGCGGGCTATAATTCATAACGCGACACAAGAAGCGGATATGGTTGAGCAGATAAAGATGGGCAAGCACGTGTTAATTGATTGGAGAAGCACATTGAGGTAATTTCATAATATATAAAAAGAAAAGATAATTTTTAATAAATATGTTGTTTATAAATTTACATAAACTTTTCTTCCGAAAACATTGTGTAAAATCTGATAAAATAAATATCCCTGCATCTTTAATTTATATATTGTAAAACGCTATAATTATTTTCGTGAGGAATTTCGTGATAAATGGAGATGTGGTCTTTTAAATATTTCATCCTGTATATATATATATATATATATA